ATTTATTCCTTTTTGAATCCTTACCGTATTTTTCTAGATCAGCACTGTCCAATAGATTATAATGTGAGCCACATATATAACTTTAAATGCTCTAGTAGCCACATTAAAAAAGTCAATTTTGAGAATATATTTTATTTAATCAAATATAACCAAAAGTATTGAGATATTTTACTCCTTTTTTGTACCGAGTCTGAAATCCAGTATGTAGTTTACACTTACATGACCTCTCGTTTGGAACTAACCACATTCCAAGTGCTCAGCAGCCGTATGTGATTTGTCACTACTGTATTGGACAACACAGGCCTCGACTTTTCCTACTCTCTTCAAACCTTACCCCTAACTGCCTCAGTTTCAGGAAGACCTCATGATTTATTTTCCAGGGAAAATTCAAGTTAATTTACTTCATGCCGCTTTACGTTAGTTCTTTTCTACCTCAACACATATCTGTGGCAGCACCCATACCTTCCCAAAATGTCTGTCCAACTTTATCCATTCTTTTTTTCTCCCTTCTTTCAAAAGAGAACGCTATGGCCAGTCCCATTCTTTCCTGCCTTTGCTGAGACTTTGCTTAATCAAATATCTCCTCTTTCCAGAATCTTCACCCCTCACTTTCCACTAACATTCCCAGGTTTTGCTCAACCTAAAGGTTTACTGGTTACTGCTGTTTCCCAAAGTACCATCTTCTGTATTACTTTGAACTTCCCACCACCTACCCAGCCCCTTCCAATAGGGCTTCAATCCCCACTACTGCCAACACTGCTGTCTGCTAAGTTGTCAATGACCTTCCAGTCTCCAAATCCAGTGGCCCTTTCTCAGTTCTCATTTCCTTTGCTGTGTCCATAACATTCCAGACTATAGCTCACCCCTTTCTTCTTGGAAGTTTCCTTCTCCTTGACTGCCTTAACCTACACTATTGTAGTGCCCTTCCTCACACTCAGGACTGGTTTTTACAGCTCCGCTTTTTCTTTTCAGTCTCAAATTATGGCTTCATCTTAAACCTTAGCCTCCCCTCCCTAGGAGATTTCCTCCACTGTCACAGCTTCAATCCTCATTTCCACTCAGAATACATCCAAATGTAAATATTCCACCCTCTGTATTAAATTTCAGTCCTGTGTTTCCAATTGCCTACTGTACATATCATCTGAATATCATTGGATATATGATATTAAGGACCATTTTAACTCAGGGCTACTGTGACAAAGCCTAAAAAAATGTCATTTCATTTCCAAAATTCTAAAAAATTCGTAAGTATTGTGTGTGATTGTCAGCCTCACCTCATCTGTGATCCCTACCCCATCTCTGCCCCAGGCTGTGTCATGCTGCCCTGCTTTGATGTCATTATGAGGGTACTTCGAAAAGTTAGTGGAAAAATAGAATTAAAGGAGTACCCTCGAGTATCAAAATCTAGAGGTTTAAAAAAAAATATCAGTTTTCCCCAAGCCAGTTCACCCTGAGATTTCCTATTTTTGACAGTGGCACTAATCACTCAGTCACCCAGCTTTGAAATGTTGTTTTCATCCTTAATTATGTCTTCCTCCTTTCTCCCACAGCTAATTAGTCACTGTTCTTGCCAACTAATCCTTCATAGTATTTCCTTTTATCCAGCCCATCTCCTTAACAAATTGTTCGCACCATTCACATAACATCCCACGTTCTCTTTCTCAATTCCCGTCCTATCCCTTCCTCAAACTCAACTTTTGCAACCTCCCACAATACAAAATGTGTTGGCAGTGGTTCAGTATTTGCTTAAGTGAATGCCTAGTCTTCCCAGCTAGACCTTAAGTTCCTTAAAAGCAAGAAGAAAATTTTATGGTTTCTTCATTCCTGTGCTTACTAGATAATAGATCATCAATAACCATTTACTATTGATAATACTTGTTTTCATTCAAAGACAAAATTTCCCTTAAGTGTCTGAAAAGCAGTTTTAAATATAATCAGGTTGTCCCTAGTTAATTACATAACTTTGGGAGACATTTAACGTATGATGTGAGAGAGATAACAACTTTATTTTGGAAAAAGCATCACATTTACGATTTGATCCTTGTTTTTCCTGTTAGCTAGTCAAGATACAAGTTCCTTAACTCTTAGTTAGCTTCCTTGCCTGTTATGTACCTAGCTAATGGAAGTTATTGTGAGGTTTAAATTAGGTAATATATGAAAGTGCTTTGAACATTTCAGAATCTATGTAATAGATAATCTTGCCACAAAGTGCCCAGAATCAACAGCTTATTCTTTTAAGATAATTCTTTTTTTTTATTGACCTCCTAATTAGAAACCTCAGGAGATCTTAGCAAGTTGACTGGAAGATCTTCTGGGAGATGGCTCTATACCAAACAAACGTTAGTTAACATTCTGCCTACAATTTCTTCAAGGAGAGCCTGGATTTGGTGCCTGCCATTCTCAGGCTTTTTGAATGGGTGGCTGGAGATTTAGAAAGCTTTTCTAGAAAGCATACCATTTTTAACAGATGTAAAACAATTCATTCCATGGGGATTCACTTGAAAATAGCAAATTCTTTGTCCTCTTTGAAAACTACTTGCAGGTTCTTCTGTGTCCCTGCACACCTCACAGGTGGGTAAGCCACTTTCCTTAGCACTAAGGAGGACTCCCCCCTTTAGCACAAATCACCCTGTCTCATGATGTATTTATTTCCAAATCTGTCTGCTATGTGAGTCTGTGGGCATCATAAAACAGATTATTATTTATTTCATATTTATTTGTATGTGTTTTTGTTTTTTACAATTCATTTATTTTTATATTCCTGCCACCTCCAACAAAGTCTGGCACTTAGTTCTTGCTCAATGAATACTGAATAACTGAATGAATGTGGAAGAGGTAACGCTTCAGACAGTGGTGATGTTTTAGTCTCTTTTGTATTCCCCTGTACTACCCCCTGCACGAAACAGTAAAGACTACAGGCTGCAGACCCCCAAATACCTTTAGCCCATCTGGCGTAGACCTAGGCCTAGGCTTCTGTCGGTCTGTTGTCTCCAGATCCAGTGAACCTCTGGAGAAGCCAGGCTTCTGTGGAGATCCTTTCTTCTCCCACCTCTGCCATCTACTGTCAGGGTCCCAGGGGTTTACTGCAGGTCATGTCTTCCAAAAGACCCCTCTTCTCCACCTAAAAGGGATTATTATTTTGGTGCTTTGTTCCCAACAAACTCTCCTAAAAAGAAAATTATTTGGTGAAATCTTTCAAATTTTTTTAAGTACATGCAAATCTTTGATGCATTATCCTATTCTGGCATCTTTGCATTTAAAAAAAAAAGATGATGATGATAATGATAACACCTACTCTGAGAATAGACAAGGGCTCATCCGAAGGCATGAATGTCTAGTGGTCAGTCAGTGTGACTAGCGATTGGAGCAGGGAGAAGAGAGAGGCTTTAGATCAGCAGTGCTTCTCCTTCGCCCCTGGAAACCTACTTGTAGAGCCAGCCCTTCTCAAAAGAGAGAAAAAAAAATCTTTGACTCAGCCCAAAACATGATTGTGAGCCTCTCCTCTACTTTCTACATTACAGAAGTGTTATAGGGGAAAGGGAGCAAATTTTTGCCCAACAAAATGCCTGCCTACTGGAACCTTTTCTGAGTTAACGTCATTGGTGGACCAGGTAGTGGTGGAGAGTAGGAGGGGAGGAAATTCTCCCAGCTTCAGATTGCTGGGGTATCCTCAGCCTGCTATAAAAGAGCCTCTTCATCTTAAAGCCCTGATGTACTCTCCAGCCAGCCTGAGGTAAGTCTGTTGCCAAGGAAGAGGTTAGCACTTTGATCTATGGCATTACTCATGTCACCTGCATAGCCTCTGGTTATTGCTAGGGTATGTGACTTTTTCAGCTAATTACACACCCAAGAATGATAGGAGCAGCTCCCTGCCCTCTTTAACCTGGTCACCTCCATTTTCCTTTGAGCAGATGACTGGAATCTAATTCTGTGAGCTAAGTGTCTCTGGGTGCACTGCACAAGAAGCTGGCAGTATATATAAGCCACTGCCACTTACATTTGGTTGTAAGATGGGAATTTTGCATCTTACTTTCTCTTCTTGAAAATTGATGGAACATCATTCTCTAAAAATCATTTGTTACTTGCCTAATTTGAGAATGAATTTGCATAGATTCTTCAGCAAAGCTTCTATGCTTTTTTCATATGCTGATGACCAGAATATTCAAAATATTTCCATTTTGTGTCACATTTGAAGCACCATGGCTTTTTTCTTTTGAACCTAATTTTTTTGTTTCTAAGTTGAGAGAGGCTGATAACTGAATGATAAATGTGATGTGGATTTGAAAGCTAGCATTCCAGATTTTTAAATCACAGAGTGTAAGCAAACAAATCATGTCCAACATGGCTTTATCCAAATATCAGCTCCAGCTTTTATTGACACAGTGGCTAGCCCCTCAGTTTTGGTCTTGTTTTGGAGGCAGGCCATATCTTTGTCCAGATGCACATGGTATTCTCCCAGACCTTCCTCCATGCTTCCCAAGGCACCACTTCTCCAAAACCTCTAATTTCATTGTCACTGCCTCTTCTCAGCAGCAGGGGCATTTGTATGACTAATGTCCACATCTACAGGCTACCACTGAAACATAAAATTATCGGCAGGGCTTCAAGATGCCCACATAATCAATGCCATCCAAAAGAGGAGAGCAGGTTCTTCTCAGAGTCCTCTGTATTTTCAAGTTTGTTTCAAAGCCACCTAATTCAGGCCACTGTAGAGATAGCATGGCCCCCAGAGATACACCCGTAGAAATATATGTTCACTGGAGATTCAGCAATCTTTTCTTATCTGCGAATTTGTGAACTATCCTCAAGGATGAAAAAGACTCTTCCAAACCAGAATGGAAAGTGCCCTTGGCATAGCCATATGTCTACTGGCTCTTGTTTAGGAATCTAAGTGCCAGGGGAGTACCCGCAGCAGCCGCAGCTTTGGGATTGAGCCACAGCTGCTCACGTCGTGGCACTCCAGAGTTCAATGGTGTGTGTGTTCTGTGTCCTCCCCACAGCTATTGACCTGCTGTACTGGCGGGACATCAAGCAGACGGGCATAGTGTTCGGGAGCTTCCTGCTGCTGCTCTTCTCCCTGACCCAGTTCAGCGTGGTGAGCGTCGTGGCCTACCTGGCCCTTGCTGCACTCTCGGCCACCATCAGCTTCCGCATCTACAAGTCTGTCTTACAAGCTGTGCAGAAAACCGACGAGGGCCACCCTTTCAAGTGAGTGCCCCAGCCTGACGAGCCCTCACCTCTGTTTTGGCTCATAGATGCAATCGTCCATGTTTCTCTGAGACCTGAGGGACCTCTCAGGGTCTCCCTACTACCCTGTCTGTTAATATCTAACATTTCTGGTGAATTTCTGAAAGAAATTTAATTATCCGTGTTCTAACACTTATTGCTTTATTGAATTTTTATAGTTTAATTACTCCTAGTAGTAATCATTATCCTTATTCTATCATGTATTGCTTTATTGAGTTTTTATAGTTTAATTAGAACTAATGGTAATCATAATCCATTATACGTATACAATGTTTTATAACTTTAAGTGTCTCAACAATTACTTAATCCTCCTATCTCTATGAGGAAGGCAGGACAGCCATTAAAATCCCTATTTACAGGTGGAAAAACTGAGGTTCTGGGAAGTAAAGTGACATGCCCAGGGCCACATGGCCAGTACATAGCACAGAGCCAGGACTAGGGTGTTTGAATTTTTATTTCCAGGCTCTATCTGGAAGTTTAACACCAAAGGGCCAACCTTCTGAGGGGTGCAAGTTTCATGAACAGTCTTACTGTGTACCCTCTTCTGTATTTTTATACTGGGGAAGTCTGATGAGGATGAACATTGAAGAGGAGGAAATTTAAATAAAAGAAGAAAAGGGCAGTCTGCTAACTAAGAGGATACATGAAATCTGACGGAGGGAGGCGTTAGCCCTGCCAGCTGCATCCACCCACCTCCACCACGGTTCAGCCCCCAACTCTAGATTATGGGCCTGGCTACTTGTAGCACTGACTGTCCCTGTCACCCCCTCCCCTGGTGTCTGGCCCCAAAGTGCAGGCACCACAGCAGTTGTCCTCATCTCCTGTAACCCAGGGACAGTTCCAAGTTCTGGATGACGTGTAGATGATGCTGCAGAATGACTTCTGGGCCCTGCCACAGTAATTCACCAATGACACCTCTGCATCTGTCCTGCTCTCACCTGGGAGCTGAATCAAGGCCCAGTGGCACCAGGCTCTTATAAGGAAATGAGATGCTGTTTATGGGGCTTTGTGGACAGAAAGGAAAAGGCTACATATTCAACCTTCCTTCCCTGCCTCTGGTCCTGACTGTAGTGTCAGTTACAGCCTGGGCATTCTTGACCTCAGGATGTGTTTGTCCCTCCTCTAATGCCGAGTTCATGGATCCTCTGGGCTATAACTTGGCTACACAAGTTCCCGATACCCAAAGGTGCAAAGAATGGAGAAGTGGACTGTCATCTCTACTTCTACCAGGGCATATACAGTGCCCGCTTCAGTGGCCCCAGCCTGTGACCAGAATCCACATCTTCACAGTTCTCCCCTGTCCCAGCCTCTGCCCTTAGCCATCAAAGCAAGGCTTGTTTCTACCATGAGTCTAACTACAATTAGCCCAACTATGTGATCTTCCTTTAGGAGACAAATTGAAAATGTAGAACTTTTCTTTGGCTGAGTTATTTTTATCAGTAAAAGGGATATCTGACTCAGAGTACATTTTTAATCAGAACACACAATCTAGACAAATCAGTATTTTTCTACTTTTTCTAAAGGGGAGAAAAGCCATAACATTTAAATGGAAACACCTTGTCTTAGTCAGTTACAGCTTCTGTAACAAAGTATCATAAACTGGATGGGTCAAACAACAGGAATTTATTTCTCACAGTTCTGGAGGCTGGGAAGTCCGAGATCAGGGTGCCAGCATGGTGGGGTGCAGACTGCTGTGTTCTTATTGTATCTTCACAAGGCAGAAGAAGGCGAGAGACTGTCTGGGGTCTCTTTTATAAAGACACTAATCCTATCTATAAGGGCTGCACCCTAATGATCTAATCACCTCCCAAAGGCCCCACCTCCTGACACCATCACTTTGAGGGTTAGGATTCCAACATATGAATTTTGGGGGGATCCAAACACTCAGTCCATTGTACTCCCTAAAACTCAAGCCAATACTGCCTTATTCTTCTCATCTAAATTCCCAGTTAGGTAAGCACTGCAAGAACTTTGAGTATCCTCTAGGTAGACAATAGGTGCTGTCTTAAAACAGGAGAGCCAGGAGAGGAGAGAGGAAGGATGGACCTCTGTAGAGCACCTAGGCCAAGCAAGAAGAAGCTTAAGCTGTGTTGGTTTTTATAAATTTGTATTTCATATACAAACATATTGTATTCTATTATTTCACTCACCCAGAAGTTAAATTTAACCATTTGAGCAAACGAAAAATGCCACTTCTAACAATATCACTCAATAAAACCAGTGAGTGTTGTAATATGTCTCAGGTGACTTGAGCTTTCAGTGCTCTCTAGATAAACCTGGAAGTAAATCCCAGAATTTAAACATGAATTCTTAGAGTTTTGATGAGGAACAATGATCAGTAGGTAGGATTTCCAGACATCTGAACTACCTAAAAAAGACAGTTCATCTCCATGTAGTCATGTATGGACAGAATTCTTAGAGTTTTGATGAGGAACAATGATCAGTAGGTAGGATTTCCAGACATCTGAACTGCCTAAAAAAGACAGTTCATCTCCATGTAGTCATGTATGGACGATTCAGCAAAGGAGCTGATTTTGCACTGATTTTTCTCTGGTCCCAGCTGGCTGCTCTGAATTATCATCTTACACTATACTGCTGTGTCTTTGGTAGACAGAGACAGTCACAACACCCCTGATAGTCATGATTCCTACGTACTTCAGTGCACTGGAAGCAGGGATGTATGGTGCCCTGCAGCCCATTGGCTGGCATAACCCGCAAGAGGTCCCGGCTGTTGTCCTCAGAGTGAGAGAAGGAACACTTAACTGTGACCACAGGCAGTGGCCTGTCTTGTGATTCCCTCTGATGGAATTCTCTGTGGGGATGGTTTGTTGACAGGGCCTACCTGGAGCTCGAGATCACCCTTTCTCAGGAGCAGATCCAGAAGTACACAGACTGCCTGCAGTTCTACGTGAACAGCACTCTTAAGGAACTGAGGAGGCTCTTCCTCGTCCAGGACCTGGTGGATTCCTTAAAAGTATGATTGCTTAAGCCATTCACTTTACAGTCTGGAGTTCTGTTTTCCGTAAAGGCGTAATACTATAAACCACCACATCATGCAGAATGAAAAGCAAGTACTAATTATATTCTAATATCAGAAGACCTCCATTTGGATGGTACCATGGAGCTCATCTAATCTAATTCCTTCATTTTACAGGTTATGAAACTGTGGCTCAGAGAGGTTAAGACACTTGTCCAAGGTTGCCCAGGGAGTCACTAGCAGAGCTGGGATCAAACCCAGGTCACACAGCTCCTATTTATATACTTTTTCAACACACCAGATTTTCTCTCCTTAAACAATTTTCAATTCCTCAACCAACTTCCTAAAATTAATTTTAAAATAAAGATCTAGTTTAGGGAAAGTAAAAAACATACATGCTTTTTCACTGAAAGAAAAGCTGGACTCTGCTAACAGTAAGACTTCCAAGTGTCCTTACACAGTTTTGGCCTGAGGCTGAGCCATCTGAAGGGCAGTGGTATGCCCAGCCCAACGCTTGGTGAGGATCTGGGGCACCTGGGTTTTATTCCTGGTGCTCCTGCTGAATTCACTGGTTTCATTGAACAAGGTGCTTTGGCCTCCCTGTGACTTACTTGTATAATCAAAGTTAGTTAATTGTGATTCAGCAAGGCCACAAGCAGAGTTTGGGGAGGTCTGGCTGGGGGACTTGTGAATTTTCTGTTCTTCCAGAGCACTTTGTACACACCCTAGCAGGGTTCTTTTACCAGGGGCTGCCTGGTAACTGAGGAAGGGCAGAAGGAAAAGCGAGAGACGTGGTCTTGACCCTCAGTGTGCTTTACTGGAATGATGACTTGCCACGTAATGACTAAGAGAGATACCAGGGAGATTTTAATCACTTTAGTGCTTTTAAAGTAATGTTTGAATCTGTCATTTAAAAATTGTGGACTAGAGTAAGGGTCCACAAACCTTGTGTGTAAAGGGTCAGATAGTAAGAATTTAGGCATTGCGGGCCACACTGTCTGTCACCCCTACTCAACTCTGCCAGTGTAGCACAAAAGCAGCAAAAGACAATACATAAAGGACTGTGACTGTGCTGATAAGATTTTATTTATGAACACTGAAAATGGAATTTAATATCAGTTCATATATTCCAAAATATTATTCTTGTTTTCATTTTATTTAACCATTTAAAAATGTAAAAACCATTCTTAACTCATGGGCCTGTACAAAAACAGGGCAAGGGCCACAATTTGCCAGTCCTTGGCCTAGACTATTATTTCATTGAGTCCATCAAATCTTATAATAAAGTGACCCAAAGGGTTCCCAGAGACCTAAAGACTGTATGCTCTTTCAGTGATTCTGTGATGGGCTTTAAATGCCTTATTGCTCTTTCATTTCCTGTTGAAATCGTGATGTATTTTGCCTCAAAAACCCAGATCCTCAGTTTATACCAGAAGAGATCACAGGTGATATAAATCTTGAATGTTTGGTGTCCCCTCACTATCTAAAAAAGTATAAGAACAAGCAGGCAAACTATATAACAAATTCAATAACAGCAAGAATCTTGGAGGCCCATCAGAATGTAGTTCAGATGAGTCTAATTAAAGCCACAATGAGATTTATTCAATCTTCATAGTTGCTACCCAAATTCAGCATTACACACTTCATTGCAAGGTCCCAAGGGGGCAAAAGAGAAGAACTTACTGGAATTGCATACAACAGACTAATTAGGATGGATGCCAGCACAGGAGATGCAATTGAAAGATGTCATTTCAGCAACATGAAACAGTGGAATGTAAACTGGAAAATCAAAATCATCACAGTAGGGTCTGCAGATGAAGTAAGATTATCCTTCATTTGTACTGAAGTACATTGCAAAGTAGTTCATGAATTCATTAGTGGCTACATATTTCTCTCAACACGTGCAAAAAAACCAAAAGGACAGTTTAGATGAAGAGATATTCTACAAACTTACCAGTGGTTGGGTGTGAACAGAAATATTGTGTAATGAAACTCCATGGCCTTAACAAAATTAACTTTAAAAGCTGTAGCTTGTTATACGCTGCTTAAGAAATTAAGCTTGAAATTGAAAAAAAAAAGACTTATCTGTCAGGAAGGGTTTTAGAAGCTCTGATGATTCTTTCATTCTTCAGTTTGCAGTCCTGATGTGGCTCTTGACTTACGTTGGAGCTCTCTTCAATGGCCTGACCCTGCTGCTCATGGGTAAGAACAGACGAGAGTGTACTCGTATTGGGTCTCGTTCACACACTCTGTTAACACAATGCTTCCAAAGCTCTTAGCTCTTGGCTTGTTCGGATAGATTCCTAGGAATGAATGTCAGCTGTCCCTGAGTGCAGAGCATTTCCCTTACCAGTGAAAGAGTATTATATATTAATAGTATATAATACATGCTGTATATTATTTATATTATATACTTATATTAAGTATAGTATATATGTTAAGAATACAATATATATAATATATTAATAATGAATTTTTAAGTCTGAAGGTTTTTCTTCTTCAGCCACAACTGGTTTTATTTGGCTTCTTTTAGGTATCTGTTTACAGTGGCAGCTATGGATAGAGATTCGTTTTCATCTTGGGAGGGCACAGTCTGTCCTCATTCTAGGAATAATAACGTAATATCTGTAAGGGCTCAGCATCCTTTTGTTTTGCTTGTAAACTGATTCTTTTATCTAGAATATTGATTATTCCAAAAATTGCTATAATAGCACATAACTATATATAAATGTGTCTATAAGCTTAGTCTTATTGACAACTCTCAGATTTTTAATACTGTTTTTTCTTCATCCTAGCTGTGGTTTCAATGTTTACTCTACCTGTAGTGTACGTTAAGCACCAGGTAAGTTCTAATTGATGTCAAACATTCACATTAAATTTTGACCTCATGATCTTTGGATGTGCTCATGATTTCTTTCTCTTTGTAGGCACAGATTGACCAATATCTGGGACTTGTGAGGACTCACATAAATGCTGTTGTGGCAAAGTAAGTTATACAGTGCATTTCATAAAAAGGAGAGACTTTCTTAAGCAGGCATTTGAGTGAATTAGGGAGGGGCAAAAAAAGATAGTAAGATAATAGGTTGATTTATAATTATTCACTTATTTGAGTCATGTTTCCATTCCATTCCCTATTATATTATTTCAGAAAATAAGTATCAGTTTTAAAACAATTAAATAAAATCTTCAGTGGTATATTTCAGATATCATAATGAATGAGTTTTAATGAATGAATGATATTAAGCTGTATCTGAGGACTGGCCCATATCCAAGAATAGGATGGGTTGAAGGAAAGAATGAAGCCTAATTCAGAAAATTAAAATTAACAGTTTAATTGAAATAGAAACAATTGAATTAACAAACATTTTCAATCTTTTAAGCAATGAACAGCACTAATTTTTTTAAATCATTGAAATTATGTTTAAAAATTTAAATTATTTTTTAATAACTTTAAAATATGTGAAAATTTTTGTTACCTAACTATTTTATATTATACCATTGTAACTCAACAAGAGTGTGTGTGTGTTTGTTTAATTAACACCATTGCTTTTTAAGTCTACTTTATGGGCTACCTTATGTATTAAAGATTTCAGTTTTACATATCCACAGCTAACATGATTATTAAACTGAGTAGTTTTCCCTGATTTTTGTATTAGTATTTTCATGTATGTGGTCATCTAAAATGATAGTTTTTATGTTGTCATTATTATTCAAGATTTTGTTTTAATCAAATGATGACCAAGTCTTCAACTACAAATACATGTTGCCAAAGGACTAGACTTTGTCAACATAAATTCCATCTAGTAGTTTGATAATTATTTGGCTGGACCTAGATGACGGTCATATTTAAAGGGAGGCATTTTAGACAGTTGAAGATGTATAATAAAATAAATAGGAAAGGACAACCACCATAACGTTTCTCTGCTATTAAATTACATGTCATCAGCTATAGTTCTCTCCTGAAGTATATAAATTTTTCTTTTTACTATGTACACTTTACATTCTTCATCTTAGAGTTGTTAGGAACTCAGGGGGTTCTATGCTGAATTTGGATTCATGACAGTTCTACAACACATTTCAAAATGCCTGCAATTATCAGCTTGGACCCAAGTATAACCAATACCTAATGAAAATTAACAAATGAAGGATAAAATAGTCATTATTTTGTATTAAGAAATGGCAGCATGGCATAGTGTGAAACTTGGTGGTACTCAAACCTGGGCAACCTGTTTAAAAATACTAATTTCAAGACTACACAACAGACCTATAGAAGTAAAATTTCTAGGATTGGTCAGCTTGAATTTATATTATAATGAACTTGTTAGGTGACTTTTTGGCAGCTAGAACTGTGTTCAGGAACTACAGCAAATAACACCAGAATAGGAATTTGGAAAGTGCAAGAAAGGTGTTCTAGACCTAAGTTTTGCAATACTTAGTTTGGGCATGTTGAGCAAATCACATCTATTCATTTTTTATTTGGTTGACTAGTTGATTGGTTCCAAAAAAAGGAGTACTTGTTATGCTCTGGATACTTCGTGTAATAGGCACAGAGGGTATAAAGTGAATGAAAGGATTCCAACCCTAGAAGAGCCAACTGGTGCAGACGAAATTGTAAAGAAATAACTATAAGACTATAAGAAATAACAAATATAAGAACCACAGCAGAGTTGTGTAAAATACTGAAGTCAGGGAAATGAGGAAATAATTGTTCCTTCCTGGAGAGGACAATGGAAAGCCACTAAGACAAGGGTGCATTTGACCTGAGCCCTGAAGGTGACATAAATATTCATCAGGTGGATGATGAGGGGAAGACATCGCAAGAAGAAATAATATGAGCAAAGTCAGAGGAGCATGAAGGTGTAGGTCATGTTCAGGAAGCAGCAAGTCCGCCAGTGTGACTAAAGCTTAAGTGAGTGGAAAGATCACCTAGAAGAAGGAATTTAGAAAGAGAGTCTGCGGCCAGATGGTGAGTGCTTTAAAGAGTTTCAACTCTGACCCAACAGGAAATGTTCAGCCCTTGATGCTTTTAAGCAGGAGATTTATGTCATCATTTCTGTGCTTTGTTAAGATCACTGTGACAGTCTAGTGAGAGGCACTGGAGAGGGGAGAGACTGGAGATGTGGCAGTCAGCTAGGAGGCTATCATAATTCAGACAAAGTGATAAGGGCATATGTTGGTTAAAACGGAGGGAAAAGAGGGATGGCAGAGAATATAACACACATGCAATGTAGCTGCTAAATCACAATCGGAAATCAAGGCTGTGAAAAGAAATAGAAAGGAGATATGTGAACCGTGAGGACTAATAGGTTTCTGGATTGAGTTTTATTCAGAGTTGACTGAGCTTCTTGGTAGCTAGGACAAAAGGAGAAACTGGGTAAGTTACATAGTCCCTGTTATCGGAAAGGAGGAAACAGCAGTTCTTCAAGAGAACCCGTTTTTGCCTGGCACTAAATTTTGAAGGACATTTCTATATGTGATCCTACCTCAAAGGTATCTTTGACCTCTGAAATTCTGATCCCATGTTAGAATAATTCCAGCAAAAGAACTTACATCATTTCAGTGGAACCATTAAGAACATGATTATCGGAAATCAGACAGAATAATTTGAGTCTACTTCCGGCATTTTTAGCTATATGAGCTCCTCATAAATGTTGTTTGACTCTATGAGCCGATATTCTTATCTGTAAATTGGGAATATTAATACTTAACCTCATAGGGTTGTTGTTGGTCATTAAATGAGATTATGTTTGTAAGTATTCTTACTCAGGCACAGGAAGCGCTCAACAAATATTAGATATCATCGTCATCATTATCATCACTATCCTATTACTGCTAAAGATCAGTTCAGAGGGGTGTGGAGGAGGACAGTCCCAGACAGGTCAGGAGATCCCAGGGCCACCTCCTCCTCAATACCGAGGGGAGGGATAACCCTGTTTCTCAGTTTTCTAGCTCTAAAATGGTGGTAATAACACCTAATAACACTTCTTAGAGTTTTGAAAATAAGGGAAAACATCCTCAAATTAGAAAAGACAAAATAAATATTGTAGAGGGGACTAAAGTTTTAAGTAAGTAAGAGCATAATAAGAAATCCCCCCTGAAGTGAATACAACTACCTATGTTCATGTAAGTTATATTCTAGGTGATAAAATAGCCTGAGATTTTACCTAGAAGATCTCTTGGAGAAATCTGAGAGTGAAGGACGTCCTTGAAAACTGAAATTGGACAGCAGCTGTCCTGTATTTCAAATAAGAAGAAAGAATAGATTCCAGAAATTATCTTTCGATGAATTGAATGCCTAATTTCAAGCAAAATTCTAGAATGAATGAGTGAAAGTGTAGATACTTAGAACAAACAGTAATATGTTCACTAAACCGAGGGGTCATAGGGACTGAGCTGGCCAGTGAGTATTCTGATTTCAGTGGGTTCCTTAACGGGTGCTCCTGGTGTCCTTATGAAGAAAAATTGAGATATATGGTTCAGATGATAGCACAGTTGGTAGAGTTTTAGAAACTCTTGAAATAGTAGACCCTAATGTTCGTTAATCCATCAAATATCTGTCTGGGGCAAGGTGTGTGGTAAGGTAACACAGGGCCTTGTCTTTGATCCCATTACTTTCAACCCCATTACTTCTCATGACTATGTGAAAACAAATCAAATATACTTATCAAAGTTCTAGGTGACACATGGCTTGAAGCAAAAGCAAATTCAGAAGATGACAAGCTCAAGATTCAAAATGAATCAAGGAATTTTGAATAAGCTAGAATGCTGATTAAAATCAATAAAATGAAGTTAACAGGGAAAGTAAAGTCCTATATTTAGGTTTTTCAAAAGTCAACTTTACAAGTATAGAATGGGAAAGGTTAGATGAAATAGGGTGTATTATATATATTTATGTATATAATACATGCAAAAAATACCTGGGTTTTCTAAATTCATTACAGCCAAATATGAGTCAACGATGTGCTGAGGCATCTTTAAAATAATCAGTGCAAGTTTTCAACTTTACAAGTATAGAATGGGAAAGGTTAGATGAAATAGGGTGTATTATATATATTTATATATATAATACATGCAAAAAATACCTGGGTTTTCTAAATTCATTACAGCCAAATATGAGTCAACGATGTGCTGAGGCATCTTTAAAATAATCGGTGCAAGTTGAGATGTTATTAATAGAGCATAAAGTCTAAATCAAAAGAGGCCACAGTCATCTTCCATATTGGTCATTCCATATCTGTCTTTAATTTCAGGGTTGGACATTTTAAGAGATGCATTAATACACTGGAGTAATGCCACAAAGATGACCAGGGTATTGAGGTATTGGAAATCTGACAGTAATGGGAAGTGAAGACCAAACTTCTCTGGGGATGATTACCCTGGAAAAGAAATGACTTTAAAAGAACACAATAGCCATCCTCAAATATTTGGAGATCTAACATGAGTCAGATCATATCGCTCCCCTGCCTAAAGTGTGTCAATGGCTTCCCATCACACAGAATAGAATCTAAACTCCTTACCACACAGCCCATGAGTTCCAGCACCATCTGGTTGCTGCTAGCTTCTCAGTCCTCCCCTCTCCACGCCCCAGGCACACTGGTCTCTACTCTCCTTGACACCTAAGCTTGACCTCACTTAAGGGTCTTTCCACATGCTACTTCCTCTGCTTGGAACACTTCACATCCATATCTTTGCCTCGTGGCCCCTTCCTGTCCTCCAGGCATCTGCTTCTCAGATCAGTGGATTTTAAGTAGGCACTACTCACTTTACTATCATGCCCCCTCACCTCCTGTCATACGTACTACCTTGTTTTGTTTTGTTTTGTAGTATTGATCACCATCTGAACTTCACCATCTAAACTTCTCGTCTACTTGTTTATTTCTGTCTCCTCAATCCCTACAGGAATGAAAACTCCGTGAGAACAGGCATCTTCTCGCTTTTCTTGGCCACATTCTTCCATCAAGTGGAAGGGTGCCTGGCACAGAGGAAGGTCTCAGTCAAAATCTGCATGATGAGCTCACAAAGCTTCAAATTAACAAACACTTCCCGTGTAAACCTGTCCTAAAATCATGCTGCCATACTGTGGAGATCACAGAATTTTAGGGGCCTTGGAGATATGTCATCTATACCCACATTTTAAAAATCAGTCTTTAGGACCAAAACAATTCGTTAGCTGGCCTGTCTCATGCAGCTAATTAATAACATAGCTGGGACTAGGACCGAGGTTTCTTAATTCCCATTTTGGGTAGTTTGACCAGACAGAGGATGAACAGAGGATGGTTCCTTTACCTGGAACCATCACTGTTTATGCATAGTTAGTAATAGCACCCTCTTTCTCTTTCAAAAGTGTCCCTAAATTGGATGAGAAATGGTCACCCTGACTATATCACAGTTTCTGTAATCCTGAAATAAATCAACATGTTCATCTACCTAAAAAATTATAATCTAAAGAATGTGGCTTTCTTGGGTCATTGATTATTCAATTCCTACTTCCTTATTGCTTTATAGAAGAGTGTTTGTAACCACACGTACATAAAAACTGTACTATCTTCTGGAATATTAAGCTATTTGGTCACTTGGCTAATTAAACCAACAACAAATAATGAATACATTAAATGATTTTATTAATAACACCTGTGATTTACTACCTCTTCATATTGTCTTTTTAGGATTCAGGCTAAAATCCCAGGCGCTAAAAGGCATACTGAGTAGATCGATCTCCCACCGGGGACTGGACACAAACAGGAATGTCTGGAGTGGTAACAGCTCTCTTCTTACTCGTTACTGCAAATTGATTGTTTTCCCCCCAGTACCATAATCTTAGAGACAAACTTTAAAACAGCTGTTTTCAGGCTGTTTCTGTATTCTTAGGATATTTGAGTCACTTGTGTCAAGCACTAAAGTATAGAGAAAAGTGTATTAGATGTGGTTTTTCATTTCGTGTTGCTAAAAAAAGTGCATGATGGTGAGAGCCCCAGTTATCTGTCCTTCAGTATCCTCCTCCTCCTCTCTGCAGCGCTTCTGTAGCTTCTGACGTTCCCCGCGGCTAGGCCTTTCCTGCCGAGTGCACGGATACAATAGTGGAAATCGCTTATATGTCCTTAGGTTGCTGGTTGGGTTAATCTTTAATAACAATATATAGAATTGTAGACTGATGTTTTAGCAGTTTTCCAACACACACAACGTAAAAATAAAAACAGCCGACCGTACTTATGATCATCAGTTTTGTATAACTTAAAATAATTAAATAAATGAATAAACCCAAAACGAACACGTGGTACTTTTGTTGTATGGGATTGATGGGCTGATTTACATGTGTGGTAACTAAAAAAGTACCAGCATGTTAACTTTATTACAATTTGTATTACTTTCTCTGTAGTTCCTCACGGACTTAATTATGGACTCTAGATATTTGCACTTATGTACTTGATACTGAATGCATAAATAAATGTTACTAAATGTAGAAAGTTCTCCCTCTGTTCTCATAGTCTTTCCAGAAAACACAAAAGGTCTGAGAGACCAAGTCACTTAATGACATGCTGGGAGGATGAGACCAGATGCTCACCTTACTCCTTCCTGCAGGATACAGGGTCAAACCCCAACCTGGTTTATGACTTCTTTGGGTTATCAGTAGAAATCACTGAAGAGTAACAAACTGGGAAACACTCTTTATGTTGTACACTGTGGGATCAATGCATATATTTTAAATGTTTTTAAAAATCTTGAAAGTGATATAAAAGCCTTACATAAAGTTTTTTATAGCAATATGCAACACAACACCAGCATAAAATAATTGTAATTGCTATGAACTTCCTCTTTAGGTAATTGTTTATTGAGCACCTACTGTGTGCCACGCACTAAGAATAGGGCTGTGTATAAGAGAGATGACAGTTCCTGCCCTGACCATGCTAAGTATTCTAACATTTGATCGCTGCTTTTTGTAAAAAAGTCCAATTGCATATTTTATTTCATTGTTAGAATTGTAAGTCAAAGACGAAGAGGTAGAAGTAAATGAAAGGAGTTGCAGTGGAAGAAGTAAAAGTAGTGCAAGAAGAAAGAATTAATCATAAAAAGCTGCCTTTGACCAGTTTTGTGCTTAGATTCAATAGTATTTATGGAGCGATCCTTCTGCACAAAGTGGTGTGAGGGTTACAAGGGCAACTCCACTCTGTGCCAATTGCCAAGAAACTCCCATCTGGTGCTGGGGGAGAGGGCAAGTAGCTACATAGAAATGCAACTACAAAAAAGGTAGCATCAAGTAAGAGCTGGGATACAAGGCTCAAGCAGCAGAGAAGGATTCACAGGGGGTGTGATCTTCGGAGCTGGGTCCTGGTCTGGTTTTTGCCAGATGAAGAGTGTTCACCCCAGGGCCGGCCCGGTGGCGCACTGGATAAGTGCGCCACTTGGGAAGCACGGCGGCGCTCCTGCCGAGGGTTCGGATCCCACATACAGACCGGTTCCCGCTCACTGGCTGAGCGAGGCGCGGGAGCAACACCGAGGGTTGCAGTCCCGTTGCCGGTCCCCGGTCCGGTACGGGGGCAACACTGAGGGTTGCGATCCGTTGCCGGACACGGAAAAAGACAAAAAGACAAAAAAAAAAAAGAGTGTTCACCCCAGAATGAAAAAGAACATCAGCTAAGGTGCGAAGACATGAAAGTACGTGGTGTGTGCAGAGAATGATGAGTAATAAAGAGTAATAAGTTCAGTAATAGT